CCACCTAGCAGCTAACAACTGTTTGTAATTCCATTTCCAAGGGGAATCCTCTTCTGGCCTCCATAAGCATTGCACAAAATAGACGCATTTACATACATGCAGGCAAAACACTCACACATATAAAATATAAACAGTTCATCCTCCTCTCCAGAAAAGTCTGAGCCTTACAATTTTGTCATACACATAAAAATGAGGAGGTTGAAAACCCAACTAGTCTAACCAGTCAGCTTCACATATATTCTTTTCCGCTGCCATGGTGAAGTAGCCACAACCTTTAAAGCTATCTGGGTTTTGCAGATGCAGCTGTCCTGACCTCCCCTGTGTCCACATGTGCCATCATCTACCTCCACCTGCTACTAACTGTGGTCAACTCCCCACACCAGTGTATTCTTCAGCAATGCCCCTGATGCCAAGCTTTTGCACTCTGAGCAAAAGGATTTGGTTACAAAGCCTGCTCTCGCAATTTATTCTAGGATTCAGGTGACAAAGTGACACTAGCAATAAGTCCATCTACAGAGAGAAATTTGACGATGAGAACTTTATCCTTAAGCATACATCCTGGTGTCTTGTCCATGGCACATGGTGGACCAAAGACAAATGGTTCCCAGTTTTTCATTTGTACTTCCGGGCATGAGTGACCTTATGACAAGTGCACGGTGTCCAGAAAGGCGAAAGATGAAGTGAGCGTTGTAGAAGCCGTGGTGCACTTTGGGTCCAGGAATGGCAAGACCAGTAAGAAGATCTCTCTTGTCAGCTGTGGGCAACCGTGATGCTTTTGACTTGTGTGCATCTTCACCCCTAGACCATCCCATCTATAGCTCAGGAGAACACCTCTCCACCCACCTGCTCACAATCTCCCGTGATCTTTGTGCTGTCACTGCAGTTCTTTGGGTTTTCATATTCTCCTCCAAGTCTAACTGGATTGCAAATTTGTGGTTATGAATAAAAAATAAGTAGCAAAAAGCCATCTAATTTCCCAGAGCAAGGCCCTTGAACAAAAGTAACTGTGTACAGATGTAGGAAACAAAAAGATAGGTAAACATATTAGAAAAAAAATATGAGTGCATAACAAAATGCTAAGGCCAAACATGGGGCCTGATGTCCTTGAAAGGCAAAGGAGTTTTGGAGAGGAAACATGAAGCTCAAACATTTACATAGCTCTTGATTGCAGTGTCGCCAGATGAGGTGCAGAGGACATTCGATGTGAGAAGACAAAGCCCCTTTCCTGTGGTTTATGAAGTTAAGTCACTGAAGAGTGCTGTACCGGTGCCAGACCCCCTCCTTGAAGTGTTCTGTGCAGTTTGGAAGAATGTTGATGTTAGCTGTTGGTGCTCTTGCTTTCTTTTCTGTCTCCCAAATCCTAACATACATTTCCTGCTATTTACAAGCCATGGATTGTGCCCTGCCATATCATACTAACCTTGTATGAAACATAGATATGTAGTCTAAGGCTGGATTTGCCTTCCTTTTCAATTCCTCCCTTCCCAGATTTTGCAATCCTGATCAAACTTCCTATCCTGCCTCCAAAGTCTTCCATCTCCTGCTCTTGACTTCCACAGCTATTGAATGATTGCGCATTTTTTTTGTTTTTTGTGTTTTTTATTTTCAGACAAGATCTCACGATAGTTGGCCTGAAACTCACTGTGTATACCAGACTGGTCTTCAACTCATAACGATCATCTGCCTCTGACTCCAGAGAGCCGGGACTAGAGGTGTGCGACACCACACCCAGTATACATGTCCATTTTTGTGAGTCCTATTGTTCAAATTATTATTGCCCAAAAGCATTTCTATCATTTCTTACGATTTTGCAAATTGATCATGCCCTCCTTGTGTGTGAGCTACTAAGAGATGAAAGTGTGGCTGGTTCAATTCCTTGTATACCACAGGTAGTGGGAGCCTGCCATCTTGCTGAACATTGACTCTTCCCGTTCCTCAAGCTTTTGACTTTACTTGATCCCTCAACTGAAAACTATGGGATTCCAATGCTATCTCAGCACCAAAGGCTCAGTAACTTAAGTTTAAGTCATTCAGTCTTTATTCTGACCCTAACTGTAAAAGAGTAAATCAGTCATTTTGTGCTTGTGTGTTTGCACATCTGTATTGCTAGAGATCAAAACCAGGCCCTCAAAGTGGTAGCACACACTCTTCTACTACACCCCAGCCCAACAACTACATTTACTTCAATTTTCTGATCCCTGAAAACTACAAGAAAATCTGTACAATGATTGATCCCGGGCTGTCTTATGTACTTACAAATTTAACATGAAAAGCACATGGAATAATTTATATGCTTTGAAAAATAAAGATGAAGAGTATGGAGCTAAGGGGTAGAGATCATACCTACCATGTTCAAGACCCAGGACTACAAAAGAAAAAGAAAATATGAATGTCAGCCTGAAGCCAGGCCTGGTGGCACAGGCCTATAATCCTAGTTAGTTTGGGAGGCTGAGTTAGGCCACACTGGGATATAGTCTGAGTTCAAGGCCAATCGGAGCAACTTAAGTGAAACTCTGTCTCAAAATAAATCAGGCATTGTGGCTCTCACCTGTAATCTGAGCACTCAGGAGACTGAGGCAAGTCTGAGGCCAGCCTGGACTATATAGTGAGTTCCAAACCAGCCTAAGCTCAGAGTGAGACTCTGTCTCAAAACAAACAAATAAAAACAAAAACAACATGCTGAACCTTCTGTTTAATCTCCAGTACTAAAATAAAAGAAAAAAAATTAAGATGACAATTGAATTCTATGTCTATGTCTTATTTCCCTAACGGGCTTTTTGTTGTTATTTTGTTTTTTGAGACAGGGTCTCAAGTAGCACAGACTGGCCTTGAACTCATCCTCCTGCCCCTACCTCCCAAGTGCTGGGAGCACAGCCATGCTCTGCCACCACACTGAACTCTCCTTTACTTATTTTGGGGACAGTCCATCTGTCAGTGGCTAAATTTTTGTTGTTGTTGTTGTTGTTGTTGTTGCTCAGCTCCAACCTATACCATTCTTACTGCCATCTTTTACTCTTAAACAGGATCCACCCTTCCCCTCTGTCAAACCACAACTCAGAAATATCTCCTGTGTAAAAATCCCAGTCTAGCTGGGTGTGTTGGCGCATTCCTTTAATCCCAGCACTCGGGAGGCAGAGGCAGGCAAATCACTGTGAATTCAAGGCCAGCCTGGTCAACATAGTGAGTTCCAGGCCAGCCAGGGCTACTGGGAGACACTGTCTCAAAAAGACCAGGGGGAAAAAAAAAGTTTGTCATAAAGCACTTTGACTGACATTATCATCCTTAAAATGTTTTCAGAAGGATCAAGAATTCTACGCCAGCCTGAGTTACATAGCAAGGTCCTGTCAAAAAGGAAGGGAGGGTGGGAAGCTAGCAAGGAGGAAGAACTGAGTATCAAAAGAAGAGAAATTAAGACCAGGCAAGGTGGTAAAAGCCTGTAATCCCAGTACTCTAGAGGACTAAGGCCATCCTGGATTGTGAGTACTAGGTTATCTAGAGCTAAACAGCAAGACTCTGTCTCAAAACAAAAACAAAAATGTGGAGAAATTGATCTGGTTTTGCCAAATACTAGACAGATTATCCCTCATTTGAAATGCTTAGTATCAGAAATGCCTCGGCTTTTGTGAGATTTTGGAACACCTGAATACAGAAAATGAGATCTTGGGGATGGGAATGAAACCTAAACATAAAATTCTTTTATGTTGCTTGTTATTTTTTGTGTGTGCTAGAGATGAACCCCAGGCCTGAGCAATCTAGGCAAGTACTCTACCACTGAAGGTGATTTCACACAACATTTTTAGTACACCTAGTTTTTGACTGAAATTCCCTCACAACTTCAGATGTAGAATTTTCTGTATGTGGCATCATGTTTGGGTTCAAAGAGTTTGATTTTGGAGCACTTTAAATTTCACTTTTCAGGTTTGAGATGCTCAGCATGTACTTAACTCACTGAGTGTTGCAAGGATTATGTTACAGAATGTGGTGCTCTTGGAAATGTGGAATCAGCTCTTAGCACCAATACCACTTCCTCAACAATGTGCTTGAGAGTGTCCCCTATTTCGCATTCCCATTATTTGCAGATGCACACAAAATACACCTACTTTCCTTCCCAGCACTCAATTTTAGTATTAGTCATGTCTCAGATCATCTGCCTTCTCTCTCCTCTAGACTAAGAGCTCTCTGAACTGTTTTAGTTCTCCACACAAATTTCTAGTGTTGTCACATATTACTTCAATTTTTGTTCTAGGTTTTTTTTTTTTCTTTAATTTTTTACGTGTATGAGTGTTTTGCCTGCGTGTCTAAGTACACGCGTGTGCTGCAATGCCTGCGGAGGTCAGAAGAGGGCTTCAGATCCCCTGGAATGGGAGTTACAGGCAGTTGTTAGCCGCCATGAGGATGCTGGGAATAAAATCCGGATCCTCTGCAAGAGCTGTCAGTGCTCCTCACCACTGAGCCATCCCTCCAGCCTGTTTTGGGTTTTTTGAGACAATGTTTCACCATGTAATCCTGACTGGCCTGGAACTTGCTATACAGACCAGGCTGGCCTGGAAATCACAGAGATCCACCTGGCTGTGTCTCTCAAGTGCTGAAATTAAAGGTATGCGGCGGCACATCTTGCCCTTCTTCAGTTTTGTTGGATAAACGAGAACTAAAATTTTCTGATTCGCTCTTCATTTGACCATCTCTTGCTCAGAAATGGTTACACTGACGGGGGAGCCTGTACAACGACGTAGGGTGGAGGCTCGTCTTCTGAATGAAAGTTGGGTTATCATGAATTTCAAAGCCTAGAGCCCTGAGTTCGGAAGGTCTTGAGAACAGTTCCCAGTCACTCAGGCTTTCTCGACCACCCCTGAGGATGCGCTCCCAGGACCGTCCCTCCTACCCAGGCACCCTGCTGGCAATTGGGCCTCACTTCCGTACGACGACCCAAGATGGCGGCCCCGTGATCAGAAAACCACATTCAAGATGGCGGCTTCCGGTTTTCCCGGCAGCGTCGCGAGTGGCCTCCGGGGCCACGCCTACTTCCGGCTCCTTGGCTACAGCAATGGCTGCTCTGGGGACTTGGCTATCCAGTGAGTGTAACGTGGGGTCGGGGGCCCCGGGAGGTCCGGGGGTGGCCCCCCACTAACCGCCTTACCCCTCCAGTAGGTGTCCGGAGGCTGCAGTGCAGCGCGGCGGCTCGGGCCGGCAGCCAGTGGCGACTAAAGTGAGTGAATGCCGGGCGGGGGAGCGGCGGGACCCGGACGCCCAGCGCGGCCTCACCCGGCTGTCCTTCTCCACCCAGGCAGGGTCTGCCTGCCAACCCTTCCGGCTATGGCCCCCTCACGGAGCTTCCTGACTGGTCCTTCGCGGGTGAGCCTTGTATTTACCCTAGGAACTGCCTCTGAAAGTGCAAAACGTTGAAGAAGTTTTAAGTCAGAAAACCGCTGGAGGAAAGAAGGTCTCGTTTATTTTGTCATTTAAACTGTCCATGGAGCTGGATGTGGTGGCTCACACCTTGAAATCCCAGCTCTTCGCAGCCGAGACAGACGGATTGCTTTGAGTTCAAGGCAAGCCTCTGCTAAATAGTTCCCACAGAGTGAGACCCTGTGCAAAAAAAATAAATAAAATAAGTAAAAAGTAAATTGACTATAAAAGTCAGCTATAGGGAATCTTCGCTTGTGTAGTTAAGCAGAAGGTAATTCTAATTTGGGGCACCCGGGGACTGAAGGACTAGTATACTTTTATCAAAAGGGACATGATTTTTACCTAATTAGGAAGACCCATCCTTCTATGCAGTGAGTGCACAAGGAACTCTTTGGAAAGCTGCTGAAAAGAACACCGCAGATGGTAGATTGAGGGTGCAGGCTCTCTTTAGAGAAAGCTTTTCTCTTTACTTGGAAAAAAGTCTAACGTGGTAGTCCATGCCATTTATCCCAGCACTCGGGTGGCGGAAGCATTTGAGAGCTAGAGGACAGCCTTGGCTATATAGTGAGATCAGCTGCCTAAGAAAGTTTCATTGTAAAGTAGGATGAAATTTAGCAAAGATATACATTGATTGAGTGAAGGGTTTCTGAAAGCTTGAATCCAGCATTGCAGATTACCATAATTCCATACTGATGATGAGGGTAAATGAAGAGTGGGTAGGATCCTGCCCAGGAACATGATTCATGATTCTGTTGTGCCAAAGCTGGCCTCATCTTAGGAAAATTAAGTTACAGTGGGTGTGAACTGGTTTCCTTTAATTGGCAGCACTAGAAATTAAACCTGGGGCCTCACATGGGTCGGCACGCACTCTACCACTGAGCTAACTATCCCCCAGCTCTTGTGGGTATTGACTGGGAGAAGGGAGCTAAAGACAAGTTCTCTCCTTATCAGTGTTTAACAAAGTGCCCCAGGCCATATTTAACATTTGCCTTTTTTTCTCACTTCTATCTCTAGATGGCCGCCCTGCTCCCCCAATGAAAGGCCAGCTTCGAAGAAAAGCCGAAAGGGAGAAGCTTGCCGTGAGTGGCTGAAACTCCAGCAAGGGCTGTGGATTTGTAATTGGAGGGAGAAAATTTAACTCATAATTTGTCTTGAGCAGTATTGCACCTAAGCCAACCTGTACCTTGCATACTGATTTAATAGCCAGGTGTTTTAATAGCACTGTGAGAAGCGAAGAGTGAAGTGGTGTACTCTTATAAAAGAAACCAGTAGCAGGCATTCGGCCTCACATTTTGCCACTTCTATTTTGCCTCCCAAACCAGGATCTGATGCCAGTCAGCAGTGTCTATATCCAGCAGAAAAACCTTGGACTTTTTGAGAGAAAGGATATATGCTGCAGTGCTTAAGCCCCAGATGTTATCCTTTTCCTGTCTGTTTCAGAGACGGGTTGTACTGCTGACACAGGAAATGGATGCTGGACTACAGGCATGGACGCTCAGGCAGCAGGAGAAATTGCAGGAAGAAGAAAGGAAGCGGGAAAATGCTCTTAAACCCAAAGGAGCTTCACTGCAGAGCCCACCTCCTAATCAATAAAAGGCGGCTCCTGTCCTGGTTTCCAGACTCTTCGGGCTTTCTACAACCAAGGGGCCTCATCCCAGGGAAAATAAAGCCTCTTGTCTCCCATCTGTATAGCAAAAGAGCTCAAGCCCCAGGAAGAACAGACTGTAAGATCACTGCCTGGGAGGCTTGGCTCAGTGCCCTCATCCCTGGTTCTGTTCTAATTCAGCCAAATCTTGTTCTGGGATCTTTTTTTTTTTTCTCCCTAGTGCTAGAAAACAAACCCAGAACCTTGCAAAAGTTAAGCAAGCATTCAGCCACCCTAGCACCCTGCCTTGCTCAGGATTTTTATCTCCCTTGCTTAGCCATAGGACTGGCCCAGCTAAAAGCAGCTGGTCTGTGAAAGAGAAAAGGAGGTTAGCAGTTTTCCTGGTTTTCCCTACAGACTTGGAGTCACCGACAGCCCATAACCAGCTCAGTCCTGTCCAGTTGGTGTTCAATAAATGTTATATGAAAAAGGCTTTCTGTCTGAGTTCCCTTTCTTGTACAGCAACTAGTGTCCGTTTTCCTGCCGTTCAGATACTTGATCCAGGAGGAGATGCTCACACTGGGAAGGCTGACACAAAAAGCACTAAACTTGGATGTTTCGGGTTCTGACTGAATTCCAGGAGTCTGTTGAAAAGGGGCCTGTGTTTCCCCATCTCCAAAGAATGTCTCAGCCCCTTTTAACAGTCACTGTGGAACTAATATCCACTGATAACCTCCCCTCCCACACTGTCCAAAGCCAAGGATACCTTTGATTTTATTATCAGGAGCCTTCCCAGTGCAAAGGACCTTTGCTGTTCCAGTACAGAATATTGTACTTGTGTCTTTCCATCACAAACATGGAAATTCCTGGATCTCTAGGAAGGATTGCTAGAGCTTCCTACCTGACTTAATCCCCAGCCCCCCCCCCCCTTACTGCTTCCCTCCCTTCCTCTCTCCACTGCCTCCTTCCTCTCTCGCTGACCAAATACAGTTCTTGGATCTTGCATTTTGCTGATGATGGAGTTTTCTGTCTCCCACACTTTTCCTGCTTGTGCTGTGCTGCTTGGTGGTTTTCCAGATCCTGTTCTCAACCTCTTATCTCCCTTTCTCACTGCCAGCTTTAGCCTGTCCTACACTCCCCTTTTGTTTTCAAAGCCCCATCAATCCCTGAAGGTTTTACTCTATGGATCTGCCCCCTCTTTCAGTGCAGAGACTGAAGAAAACTCCAAAATCCTAACTCCCAGTCGTCTCTCCTAACAATCTCATCGAACTTTATTTTCCCAGTTCTCTGACCTTGGACCCCTTTCCAACCCGGGCAGTTCTATAACTTAAGGAACAGATCGCAAAGACCATTCATTAATAAAGGAATGGGCCCCCAGATTCAATGCAGTTGTGAGCTTTGTTAGGCAGTGGCTTTTGTTAAGAGTTTGGGCTTGGGGGCAGAAGGTTGTCCCACAGTTTAAGCAGACACCCTTGTTAGTCAATGCCTTTCTCCCAGCCAAGGAGGAAGACCAACCACTCACCGTCCCTAGGCACTCAGCTTCCCAATACTTGTCACTCTGAGGTGAGACATGCTGAATACCACGAGAATCACGCCACCCAAAATATGCTTAGGAGGAAAAAGTCACCCACATCCCATCCCTTGAGACCCCCTAGGCTCCCAGTTAGACGTTGGCTGTGGCCTCAACCCCTGCAGATGGCAGCCTGCACCACAGAAAAGCAACTTTTTTCCCCTCTAGCCCTTGGCTGTAATTGGATTCAGGCCGCAACTACCACGTCCCCACCAGGAAAGGAGGGCATTGGGGCGGGGGCGGAGGAGGAGAGGCTGTGGGAGAAGGGAGGGACCAAAAGAGAGAGCGGAGAGGGCTTCCACCCCAGTTCGCCGACTAAGCAGAAGAAAGATCAAAAAACGGGAAAGAGAAGAGAGCACAGGCACTTTCCGGAGCAAGCCCCTCTCCTCCAAGCCGACCTCGCTCCAGGGCTCCTAAGTCACTGCCCGCGGAGGACAAAGGCGCCCCGGGAGCGGCGGCGCGACCCCAGGGCGTGGGCCCCGCTCCGCCGCGCGCCCCGACGCCGCGGACATGTCTCCCGCCCCCCGAGCCTCACGCAGCCTGCTCCCGCTGCTCACTCTCTGCACCGCGCTTGCCTCCCTCTGCTGGGCCCAAGGCGGCAACTTCAGCCCCGAAGTAAGTGAGCCCCGGGCCTTCCCGGGAGGCGAGCCCGGGGCCCCCGGGAGCAGCGCTCCGGGGCCCCCGCTGCTCCGGCCTCCCCCTCCTTGTCTGCAAACTTGCAAAGCGAGCCAACTTCTGCCTGCGCGCAGCCACCCCCTCCGCCGCCGCCCGGCTCCCCTTCCCCTTCCCTCGGAGCCCGTTCCTGCGGGCCGGGCCCCCTCCTCCCCGCCCTGCGGGGCTCTGGAACCAGGGAGCCTGGGAAAGCCAGGACCGGCTCGCACCCCGCGCGGTCCCGCGCCTGGTCGTCCGCTCGTTGCTTCTTAACTTCCCGGCGCCTGCGCTCGCAGGGAGCCGGGCTGGCGGCCTCCCCCGACGCATCTCGGGGATCGGGGCGGCCGAGCGGCACCCGCCTCCGGGACAGCCCTGGGGCCCCGAGCCGGCGTCGAGGGTCGCGGGGCCCGCCGCGCTTGCGCGCACACAAAGCTCTCTTGTGAGCCGGGGACGCTGCCCAGCCACCGCCTCCCGCGTCCCCACCCCCGCCGGCGCCTTCGGGCTCTTTTTGCTGTTAATTGTTTCTCTGTGTTAATTGCAGGGAGATGGGGGCGTCTCTCGGGGATTGAGCAGAGGGTGGGCCCGGGTCACCCTTGGGCGCCCTCGAACCTCCATCCCCAACCCTTCCATGACCGTGGCCCACCCGGCCCTGGAGGAAACGGCGTGGGAGTTGTCTCAGGAAATTTTTCCCTCCCTCTCTTATTTTGGGGTGAAGGTGGGAGACGGATTAAAGCAGCTTCTTATTTTGGGCCATCCCAACCCACTCAGCCTGGTTGAGGGCCTGGGTGTGGTCGGGAGGGGCCGGGAAGGGCCCAAGACGGGGGATGGGGTGTGGATTTGACTTCTCTGCCCTAGTCCCAGTCCTGGTTTCTGTCCTGGTCCCAGGATGCAAAGAAATCTCTCCAGAGCGAGCACGCTGTCTGTGCTCCGGAAGAGACCTGGGGCTGAAGGGAAAAGTGTGGTCCTAGGAACCCTGCTATGGTGCTTGGAGAATAGGAAGAGTGACTAACGCCCCCACCCACACACCCCAGGTGGACACTAAACCTGGTAGTCAAGGAGGAGGCACGGCTTCCCAGTCCTGAAGCCCCCCCATCTTAGTCCCAAAGGGAGAGCGCCTAACAAAAGGATCCTGGGAATCTGGGGGACTGCCCACTGCCAACTTCTCCTCCCTGTCTTTCTTCCCCTCCCCAGCACCCGCTAGGCCCCCTAGGGGAGGGGCAGCAACAGTGGCTCAGTTTTAAGTGGGTCATGGGCGTCCCTGTCCCAGAACCACCGTTTGCTTCTGGGCCACAGGGTGGGAGGCTGAGGGAGGGTGGAGCAGACCCAGAGGCTGGGATCCAAGGTTTGATGTAAAACTGGAGAACCCCCACCCTCTCCTGCCTCCTAAGGTGGCAGGCAAGGGGTGTTCCCTTGACTTTTTCCTAGGGGAGTACCCAGCACAGTGCCCACCAACAAAGTTCTCCAGGCCAAGCTGAGGGAGGACTGGGGTGGCTGAGGCCTTAGGCAGCTGGGTCCCTTCCATCAAGCCTCCACAGCTCTGCAGCAGCTCCAGGACAGCCCTCTCCTCCCCTTGGCCTGTCTGGCGCTTTACCCTTCCCCCAACTTAGCCGCAGACACAAGAGTCCTCTCCTGTGGTTCCAACCTCATAGTCTGTGGTTCTTGCTTTGCCTCAGAGCCTAGCTCTGGGAGATGGAGAACAAAACTTCTTAGGTCCTGGGAGGAGGAAAGAGACAGGAGACTCTTCCTTTCATGGCTCTGTGATACTCCTCAGTTCAGGGAAGTCCCTTTCTTGACTAAGCATCCATTTTTCTCTATAGAGTATGGAGCAGGGGTTGTGGGTGTGATTGTTCAGACCTGCTGACCTCTTGAAAAACTCACAGGAAAGGGATTTATCCAAAGCTCCTGGATGTGATGGTCCCATCTTTCAGCCACCCTCTCATCTGTCATCCTGCCTTAGGAGGATTCCCCTCAGCTTGGCTAAGAGCTGAGGACCTGGCAACACTCCTGACTTGCAGCTCTAGGGAGAGGCCAGTCCCACCCTTCCCCAAGCCCTAAAGCAGCCTCTCCCTCAACAGGGGTCAAAGCCTGGTTGTAGCTGTCCTACAGGTGAGAGGAGCAAAGGGAGTTTCCTGCATACTTGGGCACAGGCCACAGCAGGCCTCTGGAGGGCACTGGCTGTGGCATCAGGCAGCACAGGTTAGGGCAAGCCTGCAGCTCCTAGAGAACAGCTCTGGACTGAAGCACCCTGCTTGGCTCTCCTCTGGCATACAAGAGGTTAAACTCCTGAACCCTTGAGGAGGCGTCTCAGAACCAGGTGATGCTAGGGTTGTTTGGCCAAGCCTATTGGCTGGGGAAAGGCTGGGTTGTTTACAACTCAGGCCCTAATTCATGTCAGCCTTGGGGTGATAACTTCCTGGAACTGTGTTGCAATTCCTGCCCTTGTTGGGCTCAGGTCCTTAGTCAGCTGCTCCTGAATCACCCCCAGACCCCTACAAGAGCACTGCTCTGCCACCAGTGCCTAAGCCTGAAAAGCAAGCCCCATGTGGACATAGATCCATCCTAACAAGCATGGCTAGAGGATGCAGCACCCAAGGCAGCCTCTGTCCTTTCCCCTCCAAGTGCCCATCCTAGACAGCCTGAAGTCCCCTCTGGACTCCTTGAAAAAAGTCAAAGCTGAGGGCTGGAGCGATGGCTCAGCGGTTAAGAACACTGGCTGTTCTTGCAGAAGACCTGGGTTCAAATCCCAACACCCATATGGCAGCTAACTCCAGTTCCAGGGGATCCGCCAGCCTCTTCTGTCCTCCGCCGCCGGCATTGCATGACATGAGTACACTTACCTACATGCAGGCAATACACACATACACATAAAATAATTTTTTTTTTTTAAAAAAAAAAGGCAAAGCTGAAGGAGGACCAGAGCTGTCTGGGTCATGTCTCCCATAAAAGAACCCAAGCATCTTCACATACTCTATACGTAACTTGGCTTGCTTGGCTTTTCAGGCATTAGGGAAAGATTCCATTGTTCTTACATAAAGGCTGACGTTTTCCTCAGAGGGGCTTTGCAGTGTGTGTATCTTTTGGTCAAACACCAAAAACGTAATTTAATTTTAAGGCAATTTTCCAATCTTTTTGAAAAATTCAAAACATAACTGAAACAAAATACTACAATCACCAAGTCTACATGCGCACACACACACACACACACACACACACACACACACACCTTCCACTTCTAACAGGAAGAACCTGAAATGGGCCTTTAGGTTCCAAGCCCCAGATCACAGGGTATTTAGATGGGGTTGTAGCTTATCAACTACCACCTCCAAAGGTCTTAGCTTCCACTAATCAGCAGCCAGTCTCAGCTCTGGCTCCTTTTCTGCCCTCCTTTCTGACAAGATCCCTGCTGTGAAGGTCCTGGAAGCCTCAAGACAGACTCACCCTGATTCTACCCCTCTGCCATCATGAGTATGACCCATTTTCAAATGGGACATGCCATAGTTGCAAGAACACTGACACGGAGTAGAAAAGTGCTGGAGGATATATGCCACTCTAAGAAGACATTCTAGGTTGGGGAATAGCTCAGTGGGTAAAATACTTGCAAACATGAGGACCTGAGTTTGAACCCCAGCACCCATGTAAAAAGCCAGGTATGGTAGCACATGCTTGTAATCTTAGCACGTGGGAGATGGAGACAGGCAGATCAAGGCTAGCTGACTAGCCAGCCTAGCCTAATAGGGGAGCCACAGCTCCCAATAAAGAGACCCCGTCTCAAAAACCAGGGTAGACAGCTCCTGGGAACACACCTGAGGTTGACCTCTGGCCTTTCCATGCATGTACCTAACAAATACAGCCCCAAAAGTCCTAAAACCCTGTCAACTCAACAGGGCTCATTTCCAAGAGCTCTACAACCAGTCAGGAACAATGATTCCTCAACCTTAGATTTGTCTGTGTTTACCACCATCTCCCTCTAATCCCACAAGGACAAGCCATACTGGGGTCTAGGCCAGAGTTTAGGTCAACAGTCAGCCTGGGAGTTCCTGCAGCCCCGCCAGAACCAGGTTGGAAGCCCATCATATTCCTCATGAAGCCAAGGGCTCTGCCAGGCTTTGTGGGGAGGCAGATGTGCCCCTGGGCCAGGTAGGAATGCTCTAAGCCACACCCCTCTCCCTACAGGCCTGGTTGCAGCAGTATGGCTACCTACCTCCAGGAGACCTACGCACCCATACACAGCGCTCACCCCAGTCACTCTCGGCTGCCATTGCCGCCATGCAGAGGTTCTATGGTTTGCAAGTGACAGGCAAGGCTGATTCAGATACCATGAAGTGAGTACCTGACATCCACTGACACACTGAGCTCCAGCAGTGTGCCACCTGAATGCCTTGCCCCTTCTGCACATGCTGATCCCAGCCCTCTCCTTTTCACCCTGCCCTCATAACCTGGCCTTCCCCCACTGACTCACACAGAGCCTCACCCAGCACTGATGCTGGGGCCAGAGGCCAGGGCCCTGGGTCTGCTATGGGGCTCCGACCTCTCCCCTTGAAGACTTTCCGTTTTGTATATTACACTGACCCAGTGCTCCTACCCCAGGGCCATGAGGCGCCCTCGCTGTGGTGTTCCAGACAAGTTTGGGGCTGAGATCAAGGCCAATGTTCGAAGGAAGCGCTATGCCATCCAGGGCCTCAAATGGCAGCATAATGAGATCACGTTCTGGTGAGTCCAATAGTCTAGCCCTTCTCACATCTGGCACCCTCCCTAACTGTAATGTAGAAACTCGGGTGGCTCGCACTTCTCCCGTCCATCCTTAGGGAGTGGGGAGGAAAATGGCTCTAATCTTACAGAGAAGTACAACTATTTGAGGGGTGCACTCCAGTGCCAAACAAACACCCATAAGCTTTCAGTTCCTGGGGCTGAGAGATTATACATGCAGCAGGGAAAACAGGTTGGTAAAATGCCTGGGCAGTTCAGTCAGACCTGGGAGAGAGCAAGGAAACAGAAACTCTGCCTCTTGTTATCCTAACACACTTTCCTCCTCTCCTTTCATGGCTGGACCTCAGCATCCAGAACTACACCCCCAAGGTGGGTGAGTATGCCACATTTGAGGCCATTCGTAAGGCTTTCCGAGTGTGGGAGAGTGCCACACCACTGCGCTTTCGAGAAGTGCCCTATGCCTATATCCGAGAGGGTCACGAGAAGCAAGCTGACATCATGATCTTGTTTGCTGAGGGGTTCCATGGCGACAGCACACCCTTTGATGGTGAAGGTGGCTTCCTGGCCCATGCCTACTTCCCAGGCCCCAATATTGGAGGGGACACCCACTTTGACTCTGCTGAGCCCTGGACTGTCCAAAATGAGGACCTAAACGGTGAATAAAAGAACTCTGGGGAGAATCAGCAAGTCATTTGTGTATGGAGGGTTCTCCTTACAAAATCTTCAGTACTGAGTGCATGGTGGCTCGCATCTATAATCCTACTACTTGAGGATAGATTATATACTAATCTATACTACTACTGCTACACACAGATCTTATCTGACTTCTAATGAAAGCAGGAATTGTATTTTAAGCTATTTCTATCTTTCTATCTGGTCTGACTCCCTGACTCCTTGTCTGACTTTCTAGTCACAGACTTCAAAGCTGCCTCACCCACTTTTCCAGGCAAACAGCATGCCTTGCTTCTGGGAGAAACTAAACTCCCACAGAGTAAAGATTAACACAGGTTTTCTTGGGATCAGGATCCTGTCCCAGGGCAGTCTGCTCCACCCAGAGGAGGTTACTGACTGGCTTTCTGCCTTCCCTACCAGATTAGAAACTGGCCCTCAAGATTTGATCACTTTACCAGTAGGCTTGTATGTGAAACTGAGGTCTCTGATCAGGGAGCCTAAGAGAAGAGTCCCAAGCTGCCATCTCACCATCTCCATACCTCCAGGGAATGACATCTTCCTGGTGGCTGTGCATGAGCTGGGCCATGCCCTGGGTCTGGAGCATTCCAATGATCCCTCTGCCATCATGGCGCCCTTTTACCAGTGGATGGACACAGAGAACTTTGTGCTGCCTGATGATGATCGCCGTGGCATTCAGCAACTTTATGGTGAGTTATCCAGGTCCATACCTGCTCCTGTCTCTGTTCCTTGCCCCCTCCTGGTCGCTGGTCTGCATTTCCCTCCTCATGCTGTAAAGTCTCTACATGCATACACACCACCTGCCCCTGCCTCTGTCAGCTCCCGCTTCTGAGCACACCCCAGCTGACTGCTTCAGCCCTCCTTAAAGGCCTGTTCATGCTTTCTAAGGACTGTTATCTGTTCATCTGTCTTTTCTTTCATCCCTTCTTCCCCAAAACCTGAAGTGCCCCTCTTGTTCTCTCCCCTAGGGAGTAAGTCAGGCTTACCCACCAAGATGCCCCCTCAACCCAGAACTACCTCTTGGCCCTCTGTCCCAGATAAGCCCAAAAATCCTACCTACGGGCCCAACATTTGTGATGGGAACTTTGACACTGTAGCCATGCTCCGAGGAGAGATGTTTGTCTTCAAGGTGAGAGGAAGAGAAGTGAGATGGTTTGGAAGGGCATAAGGGCTCTCAGCAAGGAGACAAGAGCGGCAAAAGTACTGAAAATTAAAACCAAGGGGCAAAGGGCGGTCAGGGAGTTTGGGGGACTGTAGAAGAGGACAAAGTATAAAACACATCTGCTCTTCCCACCTGTACTGACTTCCAGGAACGATGGTTCTGGCGAGTAAGGAATAACCAAGTGATGGATGGATACCCAATGCCCATTGGCCAATTCTGGAGGGGGCTGCCTGCATCCATTAACACTGCCTACGAGAGAAAGGATGGCAAATTTGTCTTCTTCAAAGGTAACCAGGCATTTCACCCCAGTTGGAAGGGCTTGGATGAACTGATTCCATTTGGCTTTCAAAGACCCTAGAGCCAGCCGGACAAGCTTCTGTGAGTTCAAAGCCAGCCTGGTCTACATAGTGAGTTCCAGGACAGCTTGGGCTACAGGGAGACCCTGTCTCAAAAAGACCAAAAAGAAAAACAAAAACAAAAAAAGACCCTAGAGCGCAACTTGAACCTGGATTCTTCCCTTTTCTTCTCTCCAGGAGATAAGCATTGGGTGTTTGACGAGGCTTCCCTGGAACCTGGGTACCCCAAGCACATTAAGGAGCTGGGCCGAGGATTGCCTACTGACAGGATTGATGCTGCTCTCTTCTGGATGCCCAATGGAAAGACTTACTTCTTTCGGGGAAACAAGTAAAACCTCACGCTTTTCCCCTCAGAAACCACCACCACTGCCACCTCAAATTCCCTCATCCCCAATTTCTGGAGAAAGGTCCACTTTTCCCCCAAGTTGTTGCCCTGGAGAAGGAGCCGACAAAGCCTCTGCTGTTGCCTAGCAATGGGCAGTGTTTCTTGGAGCTCTGTGAGTGGGATGTGACCGGGTCACCATTTCAGACCTGGTCATTTGATGCCTCCTGCCCCATCACTACCTCCGCCTCAGCAGCCAGGCACTGTCATTAAGGGCTGCTGGTGGCTCCTTACAGCTTGGACCCTCCCTTCCACCTCCCCCTTCCGCTGCTTTTAGCTGCAGGCCCTCATTACTCAAAACCCCATTCCCCACCTTGTCCAGAGCTAGGCTTTGCTCACTGGTACACTGTGTCTGCTAACCTCTGAGGAGAGGCCGAGTGTCCAACCATTTCCCTTTCCTTCCCCTCCCCCAGGTACTACCGTTTCAATGAAGAGTTCAGGGCAGTGGACAACGAGTACCCCAAAAACATCAAAGTCTGGGAAGGAATCCCCGAATCTCCCAGAGGGTCATTCATGGGTAGTGATGAAGGTGAGTGGGGCAGAGGAGGGTGGATGGGAAGAGGGAGTTGAGGAAGAGCAGAAAGGCAGAGCATGGTGTGGAGAACATTGACAGTGGTCGCAGCGGGGTCCTTGTCACGTGCCAGGCACTAAGCCAAGTGCGTCATGCATCGTACCCCTCTCCTCCGACCTGGTACTGTGATTACTTCCAGTCTACACTTGAGGAAATGATTGTTCAGAAAGACCGAGGTAAGCTTAGCTGACCATCACACTAACTAGGCTTTCTTCTCTTCTCACTTTGGGGCTTCTCTGGACCCTGCTGTCGCCCTGGCTCTTGTCCTCTCCCCTCCATCCTGTTGGTGCCCTTCAGTCTTCACATACTTCTACAAGGGGAACAAATACTGGAAATTCAACAACCAGAAGCTGAAGGTAGAGCCAGGGTACCCCAAGTCAGCTCTGAGGGACTGGATGGGCTGCCCGTCAGGAGGCCGGCCGGATGAGGGGACTGAGGAGGAGACGGAAGTGATCATCATCGAGGTGGATGAGGAGGGCAGTGGGGCTGTGAGTGCGGCCGCCGTGGTGCTGCCTGTGCTGCTGCTGCTCCTGGTGCTGGCAGTGGGTCTCGCAGTCTTCTTCTTCAGACGCCACGGGACCCCCAAGCGACTGCTCTACTGCCAGCGCTCCCTGCTGGACAAGGTCTGACCCCCACCGCTGGCCCACCCACTCCTACCACAAAGACTTTGCCTCTGAAGGCCAGTGGCAGCAGGTGGTAGTGGGTGGGCTGTTCTCACCCATCCTGAGCCCCTTCCCTCCAACCTCCTTACTCATCCCTAACTGGCCTCTCTCACCCTCACCCCTGGCATTGCTTCTGTAGGTGGGTCCCCTGAGGGCTAGCCTCTGACCCTCAGGGGACCCCTGAGCTTGGTGTGAATGTTGGGACTCTGCACTTGAAAGCAGGACCTCAGACCTCACTGGCAAAGGTCACTTGGGGTCCTCTGCAGCTTTCCCATCCCTGAACATACCTTAGATCTCTGAACTCTGACCTCAGGAGGCTCTGGGCGTGTGAACCCTGCAAGTACCAGGTGTACCCAATTGGCAGCCTCCCACCACTCTTTGGCTAAGAGGGATCTAAGAGTGTGTGTGTTTGGAGGTGGAAAGATTGTTCCACCACCTTAAAGACCGTGGTAGAAAGGCTCGAAGAGAGTCTTGGTGGCTTGGTCAGTCAAGTTCCTCTCCGCAAAGATCTGCCTCTATCCCACCCAGCCTGGAGAACTTCCAAAGGAGCCTGAGCCATTAAGGAGGAAACTGGGGCTGAGGAAACCCTTGGCAAACCTAATCACTCTGAACATTAGCCTTGGATGGCAATTTCGAGATTGGAAGAACTGAAATCATGGGGAGTGGACCAGGGTGGAGTGAGGTCAAGGGAAGACAACAGGATCTGGAGCCTGGGGGTGAGCCTGATGGCCATAGAGAAAAAGACCTTGCTCAAATGCAGGCAGCTGGGGCTGGGACCCAAAGACAGAGCAGTCAGAGGGGACAGTGTATGCCTGGGGCGAGGTGGGGGGCTCTGAAGGCAGCATGGGGGGCACTGCGATACCCAGGAGGGCAAATTTTATTGGAGCTCTTGGGAAGGGCCTTAAGGAAACCATGCTGTCCTCTCTGTCCCCTTCTTGCTGACTGTGGAAAGGAAGGGTGAGAGTGGAAACAGGAGTGGCCAGGAACAAAGGGCATGCACACAGGGACTGGGGACTGGACCTTACTGAAAGAAACCACCTGCTTGGGGGACTGAAAAAGGTTCTCAGAGGCCTGGCAGCACTCAGTGCGCCTCACTTCCCCAGTGAGAGGCAGCTTCTCGGGTGCTTCTGGGTAGGTTTGTCCACACTCCTCAGCCCTCCTAACCTATGTCTGCCCTTCTTCCCCAGCCCATCCATTGGAAGTTTCCTTCAGCCACTAAAGGTGGTCATGGTACTGGGGACTTGGGGGAGTGAGACCCTGTGGAGGGAGTGAGAGGAGAGGACTGTCGGGGTGGGGTGGGG